GAAGAGCCCTGCAACTGTGGGAACAGCAGATGTTATTTTTGGTGGTCTGCCTGGATGCCAAGGACCATCTACACTGCCGTCGGCCCCAACAAGTGGTGCAGTCAATACTGCTCTTCTTTTCTTGCTTCCTGCTTCCTGCTTCCTGCAATCTGCCATTCGCCATCTTGATTTCTAGTCGATTTTTTGTCGCTCAAGAACATTCCTGGGTCTTGGGTCCTGTTCTGGACAGCCCTATTTTTTGCAGCTGCCCTAATTGAACAGCTCTGATCCCATGCTTTGTGTCCTTTTCCACAGTTGCTAAATTTGACGTCTTATTTTTCTGTACAGTTTCGAGTGTTCTGCTCTCCTGCACAGTGGCCACACTTCGAGTCTGCTGGACAGATTTTCGCAATATGTCCGTACTTTTGGCAATTGAAGCATTGCATCGTACGAAAACCACTCCTGAATAATTCTGTTGACTTGAGCTCATATTGCCACATAAAGCCCTTTTTTATCGCCGTATCTGTGTGAATAGCCTGATCAATCCGCAGGATTAATGATCCAGACTTTTTTCCTGGCTGCTGAGATTTCTTTATCCAAGCGGCTCTTTGGATTATCATTCCTTGTATATAAATATGGTTGGCTTTTCGTAGCAGCTTCAGATGTTCTGCGTTTTGTGGCTCAAAGGATAACGGCATATCATGCATTAGAACTTGGTAAATAGGGCCGGCAACTTTCGCAGAGGCAGGCAATTTCGATGTCCAGTCCTCGTGATGCTCCATGAATTCTTTCGTTCCTTCACCGGCGAAGTAGACCTTTACTTGACCATCCGTCATTTGTCAAGCATCTATTATTTGTTGTACTCCGATTTTCTTGACTAATTCTTCACTCAAGAGTTTGGCTATGTATCTCTTTTCCTGTTAATCTTGTATGCGGATAATAGTTGCGTACAACTCTCCCTTGCTTACGTCTTTTGCCCAGGAGCGGCCTGGGGCTTGAATTTGTGGGCTACTTTGGGTTATGGAAGCTTTAATGCCCTTAATCTCCAGTAGTATCTTAGCTATTGCAGAATTTTTATCATTATGGCTTGTCTGTGAGAGTTTAGAGGGGGAAACTTTCACTTTCTGAAGGCTTTCGATAACTTGGGTGGCCTCTTCAATTATTTTTCTGTACGCTCTACTGGAGAGCTCTTCGCCTTTCCTTGCGTCCTTGAATCTTTTCAAGGATGCGTTCGTGTCTTGTGTCGCCTTTGTCGCTACGCTACCACCTCTAGGACCCGTGCAAGGCGTTCCACCAATAATTTCTCTCGTAGGAATACTCGTCATCATGATTACAACATGCTGTCAACTTTATAGATAAAAATTTGTGGGGTCGACTTTTCGGAATGTTGATGTTTTTCGACCGGATCAGGTTAATTACTGTGAAGTATAGATATACCTCGTCCCACTTAAATGACCGGACCATCTCAGACTGTTAAAGATTTAATTTGTCCATAACTCTGAGCTTGATGATGGCCAGCAAGACGAAGAATATTATGACATGTCATTTAAGATAAAAGGGCAAAAAGAGCATTAATTAGAAGATAGGACTGATATAGTGAGGGGTGATTAGCCCAGAGTAGGTATGGGCATTGTGAATGTAGTCGGAAGCATCATCAAATTAAAGAGGGGTCAAGTGCGCGATATATATATACACGTGTCATATCCCTGTCATTAATTACCAAACCCCGCACTGCCATAAACACCATCAATCTCTGCTATCCATCGCAATCCTGAGTATCAATAAGAGTTACTATTATACGGTATGTTTGTATGGGTCGACATCAAGATAGAAATGTTAACAGGGCATATGTGGGTAGGTGATGTGACGAGTATAGAGGTGGGTCGCAGGTGTAGGATCGACTGAGAAATGCTTCGTCGTAAATATTTGAGGAGTTTGAGAGATGTTGATTGTTTGAATACGACCCCCAGATAGACCCAGGTCTATTCGTGAACCGTATGTTGGTGGTGATGAGTTTTGGTTCGACTTTCTTGCGGTTGTCAAATCTCTGCTGACTGATTTTTCGACCAAAATACCGAGTGCAACTCCTTCAAGCCGAGAATCCATCACATAAAATTCATCCCACCCTTTTTCGTGACTGAATCTCGGCTCTAGGGGGATATTCCACTCCCAGGTTCGTAGAGGACACCACTGACAGGTGTTCAGCCTTCGTCCTCCGCGCTAGATGGTCATTTACTCAGGTTATAAAACAAAAGCCCACTATTTCCTCATCTAATAGTGGTGCTTCTCCTGAATCCTCATCCGATCATACGCTTCGAAGGGTCATCCACCTTTCATTCACTGCCCTCTTTCTCCCGTGAAACGAGGGCTGTGTGTGAATTTACAGCAGCGTGGAAAAATCTTTATAGAAAAATTGAGTCAGAGACCCATTCAATACTGGCGATAGCTATAAGACTGAGGAGATGTCTTTCCTTCCAGATCTTTCGATGCACCGTTCAACTAGGTACTGCAGACCTGGGTATAATCAATAACTCACTGTAAACCTTATTGAACTAAATTTATCTCATCCGCTTTTTGATTCATCGGAAAAAGTGGAGATTGTGTTGTATACTAGAAAACTTTTGACTAAAAGTGGCGGCAGCAAAGCAACCTATTCGTCCATCTTCGTCTCGTGTTTAGCAGTGGGAACGCCGTTGACTCGTGGACAAAAAATATCCCTCTGGCTAGTTTTGAGCACAATCTCAGCACTGTTGTCCATACAGAGAGAGATGGAGGTTCGTGTATAACAATGATGACAGATATCGAGCCTTCTACCCTCTTAAATAGAACCAAAGGGACACAAACTCGCTTCATTTAGTCGCGACCTGATATACACACTCTGTGATGGGCTATCACCAAAACAATAACAGAGTAAGCTGGCCGTAAAACAGTATATTTTCTAATTATCTAGGAAATGGGATCTATCTGGGCTATAGGACATGGATGTAAGGCGGAGGGCAAAAATTGAACACCTGTACGTGGTGTCCTCTACGAACCTGGGTGTGAAATATTCTCCCAGAGCCAAGTTCAGTCAAATTTCGCAATTCCAAAGAAGTTGGCCCACAAGGCAATAATCCAAAACTCTCTACGAAATCAAACTCTCCCACCCAACGAGATCGATCCCCACCAATACATCATCAAGCCTACAAGTACGACCTAGTGCATCCTCGTTTCAATGACCACACTTCTCATCTTGTTTGGATTAGGTTGTAGTTGGCAATTCCTAACCTAATTGTGTTAGATTTCAGGCTTCTGTCTTAGGTATTCATGGTTTCGTAATTAAGGTTATTGTTAAGGTTTAGCTTCGGTTATCTCACTGATTACCTAGCCGGCAGTATATCAAGGAGGCATGTAGCTAAGGTGGAAGTGTCGCACGGTAAACTATATCTGAAGCTGCTACGTATTGTAGTAGCTAAAAGAATACTGCTATTCGGAAACTACATCTCCATCCCAGAACCATGAGATAAATCAGGCTATGCACGCTAGATACAGAATGGCTAGCGGATATGGTGAATATGGGGGTAAATACGTAGATATATAAAGACATTGTAGCCTCTAAATTTGAGGCCAAGTCTTCAACCAAATTACATCGGAATTAATCCTAGCCTCTCATAAAGAAATCTCATGAATCTATTTCCGTGTCTATGATAACAGACCAATAAACAAAGTCGACGATCAAATTCAAAGTCGATTACATCTACTAATCTCTGGCCTAAGCTGGCCACCAAATACACGCCCTCGCCGATATTTATATCCGCAGGAGGAAGCAAAGCGTGGCGAACAAATCTGTGAGACAATACTTTGGAATGGACGTAAGAGGTATTAGGACAAGTTCACAAGATGATGCAAAGGAAGGATATGACCTCGAATGGCGTGAAATTCTGAACTTTGGCAAGGAGTTTTACGAATTGGGCTTTGTACGCGCCAAGACTTCGCTTGCGAAAGTGCAGCTGACACTATAAACACAAGCCAACGATGGAATGTGCCGTGGCCGGTCTCTTGGTAGTGTTCCCTGGTATAGTTTGAGTAGCCTGGGCACCTACTCCACTTGGGAAGATGACACCTATACCACATATCTCGCGGAGAAAAGTAAATGGGTGATGGAGGAATGTCTGGATAACCCAGGGTTTCTGAGACGTTCCCCTGGGTAGGTATTCACGGATGAGGGTTGACCTGGGGTGAAGAAAAAGCCACCATAACTTCGCAGTGGTACTTGCAAATGAAATCCGAGGCATGAGTGCTCTTCTTGTAAATTGAGTCATCTATTATACACTTCTCTGATATTGTGTCATGGCTAGATAGCCGCATACGCAATCAAAATCTGATGCAAAAAAATAAAAGTTCTATCTCTTGTGTGAATGGTAAATGTCTCTCACCAGGCGAAGATATTACTTAATATTCACGACTATCTATTATGAATATGAGGAGAGGAATTGCATATACATAGTGGTTTTATCAATATATGCTTGAGACTAGTAATGAGGCGGACGATGGTATGTGTTCGCTTTAATAGGCTCGTTTCCTGATAATTGCTATCTATACGAAGGAGAATACTCCTACTAATACGTAAAGCCCATCTGTCTAGTTGCTAGTAGAATAATCCATCTTGTGATGTAAGATATTCTATCATATGCTGTAGAATAGTTTACATTATTGTTCAAATCATCTATATACAACTGTCTATGATGTCACTACACCAACCACATCCTAAATAGATCTCTTTATCGTCTAATAAAGCTTGTCGAATTGGCTGGATGATTTCACATCATAACACTACGCGACTCCAAAATTTCCATTGTATTAAATAAAATGAGATGACTAACAAGGATCTTGAAAATCGAGAAGGAACATATCAGTGACGCAGGCTACATACATATATATATATATCCATATCCACTGCAGATAACTAGCGAGTGCAATGTAGCAATTTTTTTCACAAATGTACGCCTCATGACCGAGTTATTCCCCAAGTCCCATTAAAGATGTGGATATCAATAGCCCTATATCTTCAGATTTTAGGTCTTATTCCACACTTCGTGTCGGCCACGATATCAGAACCAATAGCTGGATATCTATGTGCGAATAAAATTATCTGGTTTCAAGATGTTGCAAATGCTGCCCAAATAGCTTATAATCATTTCAGGCAACATATCGAACGGGGTCAGTTCCCAGCGTTTTTCACCGAGGGGCATCTGTTCGGCCTAAATAATAATTTCCTTCTATCATGGCCTGTTTGTCTTAATTGGAACAGAAATTTATCTGGTAGGCCTAACTTGGCAAAAGTTTTGCCCAGTTTCAACAAGCATAGCTGACCCTAAGTTCAGGATCAGCTGGAAAGGCACGTGTTGTCATAAATACTGACGGCTTCATAGTTGGTGTAGTTAGAATAAATTTTTCTATTACCCCACCTGGATTTACAATTCCGCAAAAATGTGAACCTATATACCACTTTCTAGAAGCGGATCAATATCTTTCGGATTCTAAGAATGATAGATTGAGTCTTAGGTATAAGTGGATAGGGTACACGTGTAATTCGGATTTCAAAAGTAAAGAGTCTTTCGATCACACGCTAAAGATTATACAGCAATTTACTCCCAAAACTAGGCGTAAGAAAAGTATATCTCCTTATGTTGGCAATTTATATACCGGACGCGGCCTATATAAATGTCCCATCAGGAATTTAAACAGTAAAGGTCATGTTACTAGTATATTGTTTCATCTCCGCTAATGGTAGAGCAGCTCTAATGATTTATCACTAGGTCATACTGGAAAATTCTGGATCGTGTTTCGCCCTGGGTTTACATTTATGGGAGTTATAACTAACAAAGATACTGAAAAAAAGTGCATGAAAACATGGTCCATCAAAACAACGGAAGCCAATACCTACAATACTCCGTCAATTAACCCCGATGATACAATGGAACAACATAATTATATTGATCTCAGCTGTAATGGTCACTGGTTGAGTATGTCATATGTCGTTAATTTCATTTCTCTTGCTGAAGAAAATTTGCACCAAATTAAAGACGGAAATGTCAGAGGATATCCGATTGTACAGGACTCAGATCTCTTTCTCTGGCCAATTTCTGTGCCGGAAAGGCAAGTTGCAAGTAAATGTCACCGTTCCATTTACACTGACTATTCTAACGTATACATTAAGTTGCGAGATACGTGTTTGCAGTAGGCTTCCACGAGAGATCTCAGTATCTTGGTAATCATGAAAATGGTTACATATATACGGGGCTGTATATTTCAGATAAAAATGCAGATGACAAAAGATTCAAGGTTTGTCTTTGAGCTCCGGTAATACCAAGAGATAAAAGCCTCGAGTTCTATTTTAATTACTGTCAAACATCTGATAGCTTGGAACTTACTGAATATACTAATGAGAATCATTGGATATTGGGATGACACATCTTCTCGGATTAACTTACTCGAGCTTTGTTATCTCACCAGGGACATGATGATCAGGGTGTTCAGGGGCTCAAGATACTCAAGATTTTCAAGATAGTCAGGATGTTCAAAGCTCTACCTTAAGATCTTTTGATCTCCAACATATGTAATATGTTTCATATGTAGTTTTGGGAAACGAGGGGAAGATTTTCTCTCCCGGAAATAGTTTCAGATGGGTATATAGCATCACCGCTGGAGAGGAGTTGAGGAGCAGAGATTTCATCAATACAAGTTTACTTTACATTTTTCATTTGACCCTCAGTGTCTAACAATTACTTAGTATGTCTACAGCTATTTAGTAATTAAATATATTTCATATATAGATAATTCATAAATTATTCAATAATGATGTATAAAAATGGTAGAGGCAGCCTTGAAAATGTAAGATAGATTGGCCATGGAAGGAAAAAATGGAGCAACTAAAGTGAGCAATATATACATGGGGTGTGGGTATTTTGATTTGAATTTGAATTTAAAATATTTAACGTGACAGGACGAACCTAGCATCTATTTAGACGTGACACAAGTAGATGGGCTCTGAGATCTCATTGTTACCTACATGACCGGCAATAAATCCAGAAGCGTCAAAAGAATTAAAAAAAAAAGTACAGTAAATGTCTGAGTTACGATGCCCTGCACAGCATCTCTATCTTCCTCACACAGTTCCTTTCGAGTCGGAAAAAATCTCAGCATGGGCACCTTCCACCCTGTTCATTCTTCGGCAGACTGTAACATCTGCTTATGGTTAAGAATTGGATGAACTTCTGACATCCTTCTCCCCAATCATCTACTTGGCCCTAGGCTGGGCCATTTTCTCACAGCTTCTCCAACTGTCAAATTGGAGCGTAGGCGTTTGACCCGAGGCGGAATAGAATGGCAAGAAGGGGTCGGATGGATCGCGAGAGATGACTAAAGAACTACTGGAGATAATTCGGAGAACTAAAGGTTTAAAAATGGGTAATATAAGTGTCTAAAGAGTCTAAAGGTACGAGCAAATACTAATGGTGACTAAAGGTGCTAAAGGTAACTAGAGGTGACTATAGGTGACCAGAGGTGATCCGAAGGTGGTGGTTATGACAGAAGACTAAGCGTAAAGAACTCTATGCCTACAGACCAAACCATTATATATATACCTGCCTTCCTTTCAATAGCTCATCATAACATAGACCTTAACATAATATCAACATGATACCATGTGCCAAGAACTGTCCTGTTGTCATAGCAACATATGAAGAAAGGTAAAATTATATCCTAAAGAAAAGGTCGGAAGAGGAATCCTTACATTACCCCTCCCGTTTTTAAGTCTGCGAGCTCCGTCGAGCCAGCCGCGCTAGGGTAAAGGCCGTGAAATTCTTTTAAGAGATCTCCGCAGCCTGTTAGATTGCTAAGAGGCTCCCATGTAGTATCATCATATCCTGTCCATCGAACTAAGTATTGAACTTTTTTCCGACGAATTCTCGAGTCCAAAATAGCCTCTACTTCATATGTATCTAAATTTGCGTCTGATATTTCGACTGCAGGGGGCTGACTTTGCTGCTGGATCTTGAATCCAACAAATGCTGGTTTTAAAAGATTTACGTGAAAGTTGTTATCAATTTTCCATTGAGGCGGTAGGTCTAGTTTCATGACGAGAGGTGATTTAATTTTAATGATCCGCCAAGGGCCAGCTCTGACATGATCCAATTTTTTTGTTGGTCTAGACAGTCGAATGTTTTTCAGAGATAAATATACCCGGTCTCCGATCTTATATCTCGGTGCAGGAAGGCGCTTTTCATTTGCGTATGTGGCCTGAAATTCTTGAGCCAAAGTGATGTTTTCGTGGCATTTTTGCGAAATTTTCTGCATTCTCGAAATAAATTCGGGGTTATCACGTTCTACCATAATTTCCGATTCCGGAAGAAAGTTAAGCCGAGGATGGTGACCAAAGGAAGCGAAGAACGGCGACATTCCTGTAGATACATTAACGTGGTTATTGCAACAAAATTCAGCCAAGGCTAGATGATTAGCCCAATCATCTTGTCGATAATTTACATAGTGCCTTAGATATACTTCTAATGTTTTGTTGGCCCTTTCTGTCTGGCCATCTGTTTCTGGATGGTAGGAGGTGGAGAGTTTGTGATTTATTGTCAGCCTTGCGCAAATCTCTTTCCAGGTACTATCAACAAATGCCTTTCCTTGATCAGATACTAATGAGTCAGGCAACCCCGCAAATCGAACGACATTATTTAAGAATGCTTCAGCGGTGTCTCGCGCTGTGGGTCGCTCCAAGGCTATAATCCACACCCTTTTTGTCAGTCGATCAACGACTTGCAAGATATATCGATAATTAAAATTCCTAATGTTACAAGTTGGTAAAGGTCCTACAAAATCAAGAGTTAAGTGGCGAAATGCGGCTGAGGGTGCTGGTAAGGGTTTTAAGAATCCGTAAGGCTTTAGCACTGATGGATTATTTCTCTGGCAGGCTTCGCAACCTTTCGCATACTTGATACACTCTTTATGACACTTAGGCCACCAATAGGATCTACTGAGTAAAGTGTACAGAGCAGCGGCTCCACGATGGCCATATAGTGGGTTTTCATGAAGTAGTTTGAGTAATTGCTCTCGGAGCGTTAAAGGTACGTACTCCCTACCATTGAGACAAAATGAATGTTTAGTAGTTGTGCAACTGGCTAATTCGATATCGGTACAATTAGATCCTGAATTTTTCAAGGCTGCACGAATTTCTTGACAATACTTATCCTCCTCACAATGTCTACTCCAATCGTCTGGCAGCAATTCATCGGTATGCAACTGCTCCATCGGGCTAAGATCTATTTGTTTTGATGTTTCTACACGTCGAAGAATCTGCTGTGGTTTGAGTAAAATCTGCTGCTGGTGCCTTGTTCGTTCATCGTTTTCATTTGATGGTTTATCCTCACTAATTCTAGTTAGGGCATCAGGTTTGACTCCTTGTTTCCCAGGTCTAAAGATAATCTTGAAATTAAAGTCTGCGAGAAATTCGTTCCATCTAGCCTGACGCCGATTTAACTTCTTGGTGGTGGTGAAATATTCAAGGTTCTTGTGATCAGATAAGATTACAGTTGGTTTCTCAACAGAGCCAAGCTCACTTTTCCATGTCTCGAACGCATATACAATAGCAAGCAATTCTTTGTCAAATATCTCATAATTGCACTCAGCTGGTAACATTTTCTTGGACATAAATGCCACTGGCCGTAAGACGTTCTCATCATCATATTGCGACAGTATAGCTGCAGTAACATAATCTGAGGCATCGGTTTCCAGCACAGTTTTTCTACGCGGATCGAAATGAGCAAGCATGGCCCCGTCTCTAAAGGCGCGCTTAATGTTTGTAAATGACTCTTCACACTTTTGATCCCAGGTAAATTTGATATCCTTCTTTGTCAAGTGAGTTAGAGGGGAGGCTAACCTTGAGAACTCAGGAATAAAGCGACGGTAAAAATTAGCAAACCCCAAGAATCCTTGAATATCTCTGACAGAGCGAGGTGTCGGCCATTCTTGAACACAGGCTACCTTTTTAGGGTCCATGGATATACCTTTAGTTGAGACTATGAGCCCGAGGTAAGTTACACTAGTTGTTTCGAAGGAACACTTAGATATATCGACTTGCAAGCCATGTTCGCGAAGTCGTCGTAAGACAGCTTTAACATGCTTTTGATGGTCAACAAGGTTTTCTGAGTAGATCAATATGTCGTCCATGTAAGCTGTGCAAAAATCGTCCAAGAGACCCCGAAGGGCATAGTTGATGTAAGTCTGAAACGAAGCAGGCCCATTACACAGACCGAAAGGGAGAACTAAGGGTTCAAATAGTCCGTACCGGCAAGTAAATGCGGCTTTCCACTCATCACCTTCTTTGATGCGGAGCTTATTAAAGGCGGATATGATATCAAGCTTAGTGTAGAACTTGGCACGAGAGAGTTGACAAAGGGTTTCTGTAATTAAAGGAAGAGAGCACCGATTTCTAACGGAGATTGCATTAAGTCCTCTGTAATCAATACAGAAACGGAGATCTCCATTTGATTTCTTGACGAACAAAACTGGAGCGGCTGCTGGTGACTTGGAAATCCTGATAAATCCCTTCGAAAGTTCTTTGTCCAAATAATCTCGTAGAGCCTCCAGCTCTTTTTGGTTCATTGCGTATGGACGAGCGACAGGGGGTTGTTTTCCGGGCTGAAGATCAATTGAATGATCCCAGGGGCGATGTGGAGGCAGGAGATTGGCCTGTTTTCGATCAAATACATCGAGGAAGTCATGATAATGAGAAGGGAGGTATTTCTTTGGGTCGGCATCTTTTGGTATGGAGAGGTTCAAATTGTTGATTTGGGTGGTGGGTAGTCTCTGCATACTTGGATCCAGTAAAAGTTCTAGGTCTCTGAGGCTAAAAGCGAAGTAATGATTTTCGGCCTTTTGACTGAGATCAAAGAATTCAATGGCGGATACCTTAATTGGACGCGTATCCTGAAGGGGAGATTTACTAATGGGTTTTAGTGGGGGTTCTTTTCGGACTTGGGTTATTTCTCTCGAGATACTTGTGGTTGTATTGACGTATGGGATTGTTGTCTCAAATTGGCAACAGGCTTTATCTAGACAATTTTCTCCAAAGGTTATAGTGTTTTCAGACCAATTGACATAAGGGTTATGTTTTTCTAGCCAAGGAAGTCCCAAAACTAAGTCATATTTAATATTTGGGGTAACAAAAGCGAACATTTCTTCCTGGTGTCTACCAATTGCGAGGTTAAAACTAGTTTTTTTTGTAATTTGGGCTCCAGGTTTACCCTCAAAGCCTACCAGGGCGAGGGGAGACTCGAGATGGCTAGGGATAAGGT